CTCAACTTTTTTCATGATAATACTTCGAGATCTTCAAATGTAGGGCCACGAGAAAATATGTCTACAGTGCCTTTAAGCTTTCACCTCGTTAACGCTCCTTAAATGTCACCTTTTCTTGAAAACAAAAATAGAAGCTTAATGTCAAATATTTTCTTTTTTTGGGGGGTAGATTTTGAGAGTATTATTGTTTTTATTATACAATTATATTTTACAATTTTTTTTCAAATACCACCAAATTGAATATCATTTAAGCATTTGAACGAGTTTTGTATAAAATGGAAATGGATTAATAGATTAATCTGTATATCATATGAATATATAGATTTATATTATTTTGTTTAGAACGAACGGCTATGAACAGATTGTACTGGGTCGATTTTTTCAATTTTGAAATTTGCCTATTAAGCAGAAAAATGAGTAAAATTTTTTAGTATTTCATGATATAAAGAAAACATGCTTGCAGGTTACACGGACTGTAAACGTAATTTCAAGTGACCTTCCTTTTATAGAGTGGCATGACCGATTCACAACAGTTCCCTGTAAAACTGATTTATTTGTAGTTTCTCTGCAAAAACAGCTTGCGTGTTTCAGCAATAGGAAAAAAATAGGGTATCGTTGTGAATCTGACATGTCCGCCTTTCAAGTAATGGGTCACTTGAAATTACGCCTACAGTCCCTTTAAGTAACACTTGAAATTACGCCTTCAGTCCCCTTAAGCAACACTTAAAATTACGCCTACAGTTTCTTTAAGCAACACTTGAAATTACGCCTACAGTCCCTTTAAGCAATACTTGAAATTACGCCTACAGTCCCTTTAAGCAACACTTGAAATTACGCCTACAGTTCCTTTAAGCAACACTTGAAATTATGCCTACAGTCCCTTTAAGCAACACTTGCAATTACGCCTACAGTTCCTTTAAGCAACACTTGAAATTACGCCTACAGTTCCTTTAAGCAACACTTGAAATTACGCCTTCAGTCCCTTTAAGAAACACTTGAAATTACGCCTACAGTTCCTTTAAGAAACACTTGAAATTACGCCTACGGTCCCTTTAAGCAACAATTAAAAACTAGGAAAGACCAGGACGAAGCGCACTGGAAGACTTGTGTAAAAGAATTGTTATCTTTCTGCAATATGTCTGTTCACATTAAATTAATTCATTGCTGAGTCATAAAGATACAAGTCCTCAGTTCTTATCAGTTATCAGTCGCTTCAGCCAAGGCTTTATAGCATTTAATTGTGATGATGATAATATCAATAAAAACTAAATAAAACCTTTTTATATCTGGTATCATGATTTACGATTTAAGTTTAATACGTGATAAGCAATGAAAACAGTATAAGCATTTAAATGTTAGTGGTAGCATTTTTTCACCCTCCATGAATTTTAATTTTTAGAATGCAGTTTAACAAAATATTTTAAATCATTTACAGATCACATACAGGGTGACCCACAAAAATGAGAATTCCGAGACGACTGTAAACAATTTTGTCATTTTTTTCTCATAGATTCATGGTTCGCTGTAGGCGTGGGATTACAATTCTTACTTTTTTCCTATTTTACTTTGTATACCTGTTAAAAACTATATTCAAGGATAATAAACAAATTCCAAATAATTAATTGTATCTTCAAAGAGTTTCTAGTTATCACTACAGTCTCATTCTTTATGGCTAACCCTAAACAATGATACAGGGTGGCCCACGAAACATGACAGCTGGTGAATAGTTTAAAATGTCTTCTTCCATAATTTGTTATCAATTGTTTGATACCTAGGAGAATAATAACAATATTTTATGACCGTTATATGGTAGTAACATTAATTTCCAAGTATAAAAAATATGTTTGAGTAAAAGATTTTTTAACGAAATAAACTGCAAAGGTTTTAATATCTAATACAGTATATGGAAGAAGAAGACATTAAAATCAGTTTACCAACTGGCATGTTTCGTAGGACACCCTGTATCATGGAGGAAAATTAAAACATGTGTTTCCCAACTGAACAATGTTCCCAATGGAACCCTTAAAAATGGAAATAAAGAAATTTCTTTAAAAAAACTGCACTTCTAGCTGAATAGTCTGTGGCAATTAATAAAACTCAATAAAACCGAAGTTTTTGTAAAATGTCGTCTTGTCCAGGAACTAAACTATAAAAGTAAGAAAAGAATGACACTGCTAAAGACCTAATTGCTTGGCTTTAAATATTTACCTTCCCAGTATTTCCCTGTATAAACATTAACCTTTTTGAAAAAATATACTCAAGTCAATAAAGGACAAAATCTTCAAAAATCTAGGAATAGCCTAAAACTTTGAGCTAGGTATTTAATTCATTATATTGGATTTACAAGAATAATATTTTTAAAGGTTTTTTTTAAAATTTTACTCTAAAACGTTTTTATCTTTCTGAAGAAAATCTATTTGTTTTTCGTTTGGGGACTATTATTTACAAACAAAACCTCCTGCAGGGAAACTTAAACGGGGTTTATGTCTTCATCTTGCAAGGATTCAAGAATTATCGAGCAATTTTTAATTCTTTAAAAACACTTTATTTTTATGAAAAATATGATTTGTTATCTGGTGAAGGTGGGTAACTTAACGGGTTGGAATGATGTAATCACAATAGTAAGATGCAAGAGAGAAACTAAAAAAATCTAACCCAAATTCCAGGCCCTGTCTATCAGGCCTGTTTCTATAGCTTGGTAGCTTTGAGGAAAGGGGCATGAAAGGTGAGAACCTGAAAATCTTTAACATATTCAGGTGTCATAATTTTGCACCATTTCTTGTCTATACAACAAATCAATGTTGTAATTTATAAAACACTAGCTGAAGGGCCCGGCGTTGCCCGTGGAAAAAAATTATAATGCATTTTTTTCATTTCGAATTTTTTTAAGCCTATATCATCCACAAAAAATGTCAGCCCAATTGGTCCAGCAAAATACATATATATATATTTATATATACGAATATCTTGTTTTATTATACAGATGACAAGTTTTCAACATATAACCACAATGTTTATCTTTAAGGGAAATCTAATGACAAAAAGTTTTGCAAAAAGAAATGTTTTGACATTTTAGATATTAGCATATATCATGTTTTTCTTATCATAAAAATAACAACAAAATTAGACTTTTTTTGTTGTTGATAAATTGAAATCTGAAAGAAATTCATTATCTTATATCTCTGGTAATATTGAAAGCAAAAGACTCACTTACTTTTCTACACAGTGACCTAATCTCCATCCACTGTGATCTTGCCAGGCTACATTTGTTGCATAAACCGTCCTGGGTCGACTTTAATTGAGTAGGGTAGTCCAGACTGGACAGTACGACTAATTACCTATACAGTACATGTTGTACCAGCTTAAATCCTGCAACTTTTAGAGTTTAGAGAGCTCTCATTCTTCTCTCTGTAGAGCATTACCCTTTTCTGCTCTGTGTAGCATTGTTCTTATCTATACTGTTCTTTAGAGCATTGTTCTTTTCTATACTGCTCTATAGAGCATCATCTTTCTTCGCTCATGGTCCATCCTTAGGACTTGCACGAATATGACGTGAATGAAATGACTTTAACATGACTAATGAGTATATGAAACAACTCTTATCAAAGATTTGCAAAATTTTCTTCATGAGTAATGTTTTGTACATATCACTCAGATGTTAGTGTTTGTAGATTTAAATAAATAACAGCTAAATAAAGTTAAAATACTTATTTGCAAAACAATTAAAATGAGGTTCTTGGCTACCCATACAAAACAATTGAAATTTTGCCACATTAAGTTGTGATTTTCTTATCCAAATATCTTTGCAACCCAATGTTGTAGACCTTAGATATTTCAAACTATAAATAATTTTAGTTTAAATAGTGTAAGTTTGAATTATTACAAAAAATATCTACTCCGTCAGATGGAAAGGCAGCCCAACTTGATCCTCTCCATATTTATCTACTCCGTCATGTGGTAAGGCAGACCAGCTTTATCTCTCCATATTTATCTACTCCGTCAGGTGGTGAGGCAGAACAGCTTGATTCTCTCCATATTTATCTACTCCGTCAGATGGTAAGGCAGAACAGCTTGATTCTCTCCATATTTATCTACTCCGTCAGATGGTAAGGTAGACCAGCTTTATCTCTCCATATTTATCTCCTCCGTCAGATGGTAAGGCAGACCAGCTTGATTCTCTCCATATTTATCTACTCCGTCAGATGGTAAGGTAGACCAGCTTTATCTCTCCATATTTATCTCCTCCGTCAGATGGTAAGGCAGACCAGCTTGATTCTCTCCATATTTATCTACTCCATCATGTGGTAAGACAGACCTGCTTTATCTCTCCATATTTATCTACTCCGTCAGATGGTAAGGCAGACCAGCTTGATTCTCTCCATATTTATCTACTCCGTCAGATGGTAAGGCAAAACAGCTTGTTTCTCTCCATATATATCTACTCCGTCATGTGGTAAGTGAAACCAGCTTATTCTACCATCGGTTTGCAAAGATATAAGAAATTAAACATTTTAGTTTTTGGCAAAAACTGAATTGCTTTAACAGTTTGCTAAAACAATTGTTCAGTTTATATGAAACGTTTAACGGACTCGTCAGAATTGTTATTGGACAGACGAAATCGATGAAGAAATAGACCCACGAAGAGAATTAGAAGCCACTATTTACAAATGCACAGGATTCAAGAATTTTAGATAAAAAATAAGGAATGAAAGTTTTCTAAAGTCGCCAAGTTTCATAAATACCCGCAATCCCTTCTCTTGGTTCGGAACACAGCATAGCCTTTCCTTCTTCTTAGGATGTTCCCAACATCCTAAAATAATTAATTTTCCAATCCCCATATCTTTGCAACTAGACATTGAAAACCTCTGATATTTCACACTTAAAATCTTGATATTCTACATCATTCATTAGTTGAAATATCTAAAGTCAACGATAACTGATTGCAAAGATAAAATGGATTAGAAATCAGAGTTTGTGGCAAGAACTCAATTCTATTGTCAACATGAAATATAATTTCAGAATCAATATGCCTCTGGACTGCCGGGGGTTCTGGTCTTGGTTAGTATTATTAAATATTTCAGCAGATTTAGGTAAAAAGTAAATATTTTTGATGTAGGGATAAATTTAAGCTGACCCATGAAGATTCGGACAGATTTCATCGGTCACAGTGGAATAAAGCAGGTTGTACTAAAGATTTTTTTAAATCCATGGTTTAGAAAAATTTTGTTAAGATTTTCGTTAAATTGACATCTGAAATAAATTTTAAAACTACTAATGGGATGACATCCAAATAAATCTTTACATTTGAACCTTATTCCTCTTCAAAATCAAAAGTTTAGAAAACCAAAATGTGATGTTATTTTAATTCTATCTAATACTTAAACTTCATCAAGATCAAACACACAGAATTGGAGAAAGTTCACAACACTGTTTTGGTGACATCTTAGTTAAGATCTGAGGTGGAAAGAAACTGAGTTGTTGCTGCAAACTCAAATTTTCTAATCCCTATGTCTTTAAAACCTGATGATTTAAACCTTTCATATTTCAAACTTAGGCTTTCATTGTTCATAGAATTCATAGTTTGAAATATCTAAGCTCTACGACATCGGGTTGCACAGATGTAGGGATTATAATTTTGGAGTTTGTAGCAAAAACTCATTTCATTTTCTTCAGAGAAAAAAGTCCATCTTTGTTTTATTTCAATTGTTTGTTGTGTTTTAATGTCATCTGAAAAATATTTATACGATTTTTAAAGAAAAGTTTTACAGGATGATAAATTGTGTTCTGGGAAATACTTTCAACAAAAATTTAATCTTTACATTTTTGATAATTTACGCCGAACGAGCATCAGAAATCCATCTTAGAAATAATAATTTTTTAATTTAGGAGAAATTACAACATGGTATCTTGTTTACAGAATATGTATAGCTCTAGGTATATAAGTTTATTATTAATTACAACATGGTATCTTGTTTACAGAATAAGTATAGCTCTAGGTATATAAGTTTATTATTAATTACAACATGGTATCTTGTTTACAGAACAAGTATAGCTCTAGATATATAGGTTTATTATTAATGATGAAGAATTTGTAACGAATGTATCTAACTGTAAGATTCTCCTTATAAACTAAATTCAAATAAAAGACAATACAATTTTTTACAAGTCTTTTGTGGCATAATCTTATTTTCAAATTCCTTTTCAACTCAATGTTGTCAAAATGTTATTGTAAACTCCGGTTCAGTTCAAGTATCGGGCGGACTTTTTAGCAGCTAGAGCGCTGTACAGTACATATACAGACTATATAAGGCAAAACGGGACGGTACACCAAATGAAACAACCCCTTCTCTAGTGAGATTCTAGTGTCGTAGACCTTTGATATTTCAAACTATAGTTTCTGTTGGATCAAAAACTCTAAGTATGACCTACCTAAGGGTTACACCATCAGGTTGCAGGGATTAGAAAACTTAAGTTTGTGGCAAAAACTTAATTCCTTTTAACCCAAAAACTGAATAATAATCTTTTAAGCAATGGTTATCGGAGTAGCAGCACATATAGGATCAACAACAGATACCCTAGGATCAAAATGGTTTATTTACATGACGAATCAGGAAATCATAATATTAATAATTATCTATTAACTATGATAATGATACTTTATTAAGATGATGATTTTGAAAGATTCTAATTCAATTATATTGTAGATTCGCTGTATAAATTCAAATTTTTAAAACTATATTAACTTTAATAATTCTTAATTCAATTATATTGTAGATTCGCTGTATAAATTCAAATTTTTTTAACTATATTAACTTAAATAATTCTTAATTAAATTATATTGTAGACTCGCTGTATAAATTCAAATTTTTAAAACTATATTAACTTTAATAATTCTTAATTAAATTATATTGCAGACTTGCTGTATAAATTCAAATTTTTAAACTATACTAACTTTAATAATTCTTAATTAAATTATATTGCAGACTTGCTGTATAAATTCAAATTTTTAAAACTATATTAACTTTAATAATTCTTAATTAAATTATATTGTAGACTCGCTGTATAAATTCAAATTTTTAAAACTTTTTTAACTTTAATAATTCTTAATTAAATTACATTGTAGACTCGCTGTATAAATTCAAATTTTTAAAACTATTTTAACTTTAATAATTCTTAATTAAATTATATTGTAGAATCGATGTATAAATTCAAATTTTTAAAACTATTTTAACTTTAATAATTCTTCATTAAATTATATTGTAGATTCGCTGTATAAATTCAAATTTTTAAAACTATATTAACTTTGATAATTCGAAAGGTACACATCTCAATTTACTTAATCACTTGGCAGTGGCGCAACTAGGGGGGGGGGGAACCGAGTTTCGCCCCCCCCT